TGTTGTTAAGTGCTGTCGAGTCAGGTTAAGTGCCTTCAAATCAGTTACAACACATAGTGACCCCATATAGGGTTTTTGAGGAGTAGCTAGTGGGCTTGAATTTCCGACCTTGTGGTTCGTAGTCCAGTGCTGATCCTACAGGGCCACACCAAGAGTCCTGGAGGATGACGATGTGAGGAAAGGCGGTAAAAACCGGAAGAACCTGACGAAACACAGCCACAGAAGCAAAAAGCAGCCTGACACACGTAGGGAACGACAAGTCTTTGGAGATGCTGAACATGGAGGGGTAGGAAACTATGTTGTAGAGAGAGGTTGGTGCCACATTACAAAATATGGAAGCCACTAAAGGAGTCCTGGTGTGGCCCTGCAGGATAATGCACTGGACTGTGAGGTTGGTTTGAGCCGCAAGGTTGGCAATTCAAACCCACCAGCTACTCCTCGGAAACCCTATACAGGGTTGCTCTGGGTCTGAACTAACTCAATGTCACTTAATAACAAAGGAGTTAGAGCAGGGGAGGTAGAAGCAGTCTGTTATTTACCTTCGGAACCCTCCAGTCATGGTGATGAAGGCATCTGGCAGAAATGCCCACACAGCTTCCTTAACCAGCACACTGACTGCATCTGCTTCAGGCCTGGTCACACGGCTGACGAGGTCTTCGTGGTAGAGAAATCCTGAGAGGCCATTTGACAGGTCAGTGGGCAGTAAAATAAGGAGCCCTCATTGGGTGGGAATACTGCTCCCAAACAGAGCTAACATGACTACAGACATTAACATCAGACTTTGTCTTCATAGAGACAGAATTAGCCATGCTTCTATTTGTTTCATAAATTTTCCACAATAATAATGGCTTTTTGCTCTTTGAAAGAGGGACTTACAATTAAGAAGGAGACAATATTTCATGTTGCTCTGGAAACCAAACTGTTTGAATCTGGTTTCCTAGCTGGAGAGCCAGACTTCTGGAGTTGGATGGTGATGAATCAATTTAAAAATTAAAGTCAAGAATAGGAAAAGGATTTGTGTCTGAGTAGAAAGAGACAATGTCCTAGGTCGTTTGATTTGGTGCTTCATTGTCTGACCACCACAGATAGATGGAAAAAAATGAAAACTGGGATAGAGTCTTTATGGTGATGAGCTAAGGAGCTGACTATTCCCACAGACCTACTGAGGGTGCTGTGGTGTGGGGAGAGGAGATGGGGGCCAGGGAGGCTATGGATGTCATAATTCCAAGAACTGGGATCAAATATTGGAAGGGAAATGAACAGGGATGTGGGTAAATTCACAGGGCCTCAGGGAAGGATTTTCAAGATGAATTAAAGGGTTTTACTCTTTAACATAAAGAGCTCTGGTAGTGTAGTGGTTATGAGTCAGGCTGCTAATCTCAAGGTCAGCAGTTCAAAACTACCAGTCATTCCGCAGGAGAAAGA